AAGTCGGCCTCGACGGGGTAAGAGACGCACCGTCTCCGCGGCGGGCTGTGAACATAGAGCGAGGTCTTGGTGAGGACTCTTCCTGGACTGGGAGAGAAGGTATTTTGACCCACAAGTTGACTTTCATTCTTTTTTCCTCACAGAGATAGTAAATGGATAATTGGTTCCAAGATCGCGCTAGTCTCAAAGAGCGCGAGTGCTCTCAAAGGCAGGGCCTTGCGAGCAGGGGGAGAAGTCTCACTGAAAGGCCTTAAGCTCTCAAATGGACTTTCTGGCTCCAGCCAGGACCCTGAGCTGGCGCGGGAGTTCCACGTGGATGTCTGTGCACGAGCCGGGGGGCGGCCGCCTGAGTCCCGTGCTGAGGAAAACGGGCTCTCTGGTAGCTCATGTCCGCTCATTTCGCAAGCACGAGGCCTTAGCTCTGCGCTGGCCGGCGCGGCAGCCACCAGCCGCACGTGGCCCCCGAGCCTGGGACTGAGGGGCCACACGTGTGCAAAACACACGGGGTCCTGCGGACAAACAGCGAGACACAAAAGAATTTAAATAGCTCGCTCATAATCTTACGTTGAAATGCTAACAATCTGGGGAGTGTCGTCTGCATAAACTGTGCAAAATAAAACTAAACTATGAGCATTTGTTCACTGGTTTCTTTTTACCTTTTATAACGTGGCCACTGGGAAGGCGGACATCCCACATGTGGCCCACGTCACATTCCTACCGGGCAGCTGTCTGTGTGAGGCCATCCTGGGCGGGCTTCAGCTGGGCACAGTCTTTGTGCTCCTGCGATTGAAACTGACCACCTTTTGAATTCAAGATCATCCGAAATGCCACACGAGGGGTGAAGACAGGCCCATTGGCCAGACCCTGTCGGCGGCATGCCCTCCTCCCTGGCCTACCCCGATTTACCGCTCCCCCGAGCTGTGCTCCATCCCTCGGCAAGGGTCCCCGTACCTTGGGTTAGGGGGATGAGGAGGGACGGCCAGCGCCGGCCCAGGAGGACAGGTGCTTCCCAAGCATCATGTCTTTGGGTCTTGATCAAAGACCCTGGTGCTCGGGTCTTCTGTTGGTGGTGACATCACCAGACTCCGTGGACAATGCGAGCATCACAATGATGCAGGTTCTGCCTGCAGGTTCTGCAAAGTCCCTGCGGGAGCCCTGGGGGCAGGTGCGTGGGAGACACAGGCAGAAACTGATGGCAGCAAACACCCCTCACCTGCCGCCTCACCTGGCGGGGCCTTGGGCGGCACCTCCAGGGCCCGAGGGAAGCTGGCCCTGGGCGCGGGGCCAGCCAGGGACGGCCCTGCCAGCCACTGTGGGCCTGGGGTCCTCCCACCTTCCCCGGTGGCTGTGTCTACTCCCATCATTCCTTCCTTCCTTCCTTCGCTCAGGGCTTTCGCGTCTATTGAGACTGTCTTGTGACGGACCCAGCCGAGCCCTGGACCCCGGGGCCCCGCCCACCCCCGCTTCATGCAGCTTACGGTCTGGGGGTGAAGGCAGATTTTGAATAAGTCAATGGAAGACCTTTCTTTTTTTTTGTTAAAGGCTGGTCAGGTGAGGCGGTGGGAGTGGACAAGGAACACAGGAAGCGGTAGCTGGTTGTGATCAGCTAGTTGCAAACACCACCGCGCTCGACCCTCCGGGAGACTAACTGTTCCCAACACAGAGACCGAGCGGGGGCAGTGACGGATGGTGGGCAGGGAGTGTGCCGAAAGGGTCCGCTAGCGGCGAACATCTCGGGGAACCCCTGCACCGAGCAGACCTGCGTTAGGGGGCCCAGCAAGGGAAGGGGCAGAAGGAGCCACCGGTTGTACCTCGGGTGACGAGGATGGCCACTGCCCTCGAAAACCCACCTGCTAGATCTTCCGCCTGCGTCTGGAGAGAAGGGAATTATCGCACTCAGAGACGCCCGTCTGAGCTCTACTCTGTTCCAGCAGAAAGGAAACTGCAGGACGCAGGGAGCCAGATGCCAGGTGTAGCTGGTGCCACACCTGCGTCTAGCTGGTGCCGCAGGTGGGGCCATCTGGGCCGGGAGGATGAGCCCCAGTCTCTGGCTGCCTGGATGTTGAGAGGTCCCTGTCCAGCTGCTGGGCGGCCCATCTGCACGGCGTGGAGGGCGCGTCTGTTCGGAGGCCGCTCCAAGGAGCACAGTCCCAGGCAGGCCGGGCCCACACCCAGGGCCGTCGGCAGGGGGGCGGTCACTCAGGCCCACTGCCCTCTGCAGGCCGGTGGGGTGAACAGAGCCACCCTGCCTCTGCTGCGCGCATGCTTCTCCAGGCTCAGGGCCGACTCCTCCCCCACAGGCCTGGCCATGCGCCACCTCCGCATCTCTGCGCCCCTGCACCTCTGCACTTCCGTTCCCTCTGCCCTTCCCCTCCCCCTGCCCTTCCGCTCCCTCTGCCCTTCTCCTCCCTCTGCCCTTCCGTTCCCTCTGCCCTTCCATTCCCTCTGCCCTTCCATTCCCTCTGCCCTTCCGCTCCCTCTGCCCTTCCGTTCACCCTGCCCTTCCCCTCCCCCTGCCCTTCCCCTCTCCCTGCCCTTCCACTACCCCTGCCCTTCCCCTCCCCCTGCCCCTGCCCCTGCCCCTGCCCTGCTTGCTCCGTGGCAGCCGCAGTGCCCACGTCCTCGTGCCTGGAAAGTTCTTCCCGACCTGTCACCATCTACTGTCTGTCCCGTTGCTCGGTGGGCGTGAGAACGCTTGTCGCTGCCCTGCGGGAACGTGGCCATGGCCGTGTCAGATACACGATGTGTTTGTAGAGATATTTCTGTCATGTTTCATCATGTCGGGGCCCTCCGTCCAGCACGCAGAGCACCCGGCTTCCCACAAACCTCCTTTTAGGTTCTTTAGGAAAGATTGGCGGCGTCTGTGTACGGGTCTGGCACGATTTCTGCAATCACTGAGAGGAGATCCCGCGGCTGCTCTCCGAGCACCGTCTCCCGCACGAGGAAGCCACTGGCCGTGTGGCCGCCTCGCCAGCCTCCTTAGGGACCGAACCTGCCCCGCGGGGAGGTGCCGCCTGCATGCGCCGCGTGAGGACGATCGCGACTCTTGCTTGCTTTTCTCTCCTCTCTCTGGCAGCACCTCCCGTACAGAGCATGGAGTCGCGATGGCCAAGCTCCTGTTTCGCTCTCGTCCTGGCAGGGGCTGCTGGGACCCGCCGCGTCCGGGCTCACCGCCGGCCTTCGGTTGCACCTTACCCAGCTGAGAGCAGAATCGTGGGCGGCCGCACTTCCTCGTCACGGTGGTGGCTGAATTTTGTTAAAATGACTTTGGCTTCTCAGAAATGATTATGAAGCCTGGGTCACAGGAGGGGCCCAAAGGACGGACGTCCACGGCCCGGGCAGGGGGTTTGTCCCGCCGCCACCGCCCTGGGCTGTTCCACACATAGCACCCTGCAGACTCCCGCCGGGATCCCCCGCTGCCCCTCAGCTTAGAGAGAGACCTGCCCCCCGCCAGCCCTCTCGGGTCAGACGCCGGAACCCGGACACGGCAGCGTCCTCTCTCCACTGCCGAGGCGAGGAGCTGCACCGACACGTTCCCCGTCCATTCTCTTTCCCTACGGCAGTAGCTTCCACGTGGCCATGACGTGGCCTCTCCACTGACCCCGGAGACCTGGGCACCCTCAGACAGGCCACCTGGGGCCTCGAAGTTCGGGCAACTTCTCAAAGTTTTCCGATGATGGAACGGCACTGTGCCTGCCTGGAAGACCTTCCTGGGGTGCGGGAAACACCCACGTCCTGACCGGGCCAGGGGTGCCGGCCAGCGCTGCGCACGCGCACTTTCAGCCTCGGCTTCCGCCTCCACCACGACGGGAGGGACAGGCATGTCCCCAAGCCCCCACACCGGGCATCTGCGCGGCTCATGGTGGGACTCCTGCGCCCGGGGGCTTCTCCTGGTGTCAGGTGGGCTCCGCCCTATGGGTGAGGCCGCGAGTCTCCCTCTGTGAGCACGTCAATTACGGAGGCGTGGACACTCTGCAGACGTGGCCAGCTGCACCCCCGGGACTTTAGAGAAGCTGGCCAGACAGGACCCCTCCCCAGCTCACCTCCTGGAAGCTCCCACATCTTTCCAGAGACCCTCAGCCAGGCTGGCCCCAAAATGCCTTCCCCAAACTAGGACATTTGGGGCCTGTCCCTCCTGCCAGGCACTGCAGCACAGTGACACAGGTGGCCCCGCGGAAGGGGAGACCCCGTTACTGCCCAGAGCACCCTCCCCCCACTGGCACAGGAGGAGGCTCTGCTGCCCCCCACGCTCTGAGCCGCCCTGAGCGCCTGCCCGTCCTCAGCCTCAGAGCGCAGAGCCAGGGCTGGTGGAGGGAGCCGCTGCCGCGCATGGCAGGATTCCGGAATCTGACCCGAGAGGGCTGGCGGGGGGCAGGTCTCCCTTTAAGCTGAGGGGCAATGGGGGATCCCGGTGGGAGCACGCAGGGTGCTGTGAGTGGAACAGCCCAGGGCTGTGGCGGCGGGACAAACCCCCTGCCCGGGCCGTGGACGTCTGTCCTTTGGGCCCCTCCTGTGACCCAGACTTCAGCCTCCCTCCTGGGATGCTTGGGTCCAGGTGGGCCCCTGCTGCCTTGGCACTGGGAGGCACCTGCCTGGGGGCTGTGCTGGGGGCGGAAGGGGCCAAGGGGGGAGCAGGACACCCACCCTTGGTGCACAGGCCGCACGGGGGCCCTGGCAGGCTGGGAGCCGCTGCCCTGCGTCTGGACAGGATGTTGCCTCCAGTGAGGTCCCCTGTGATCACGGACACGGAAGACCCTGTGGGGTGGGACGGGCGTCCTCCCCTGCCTGTCCCGACTTCCCTGTCTGGCTCTCTGACCCTCCGGCTAGCTCTAGAACCGGCTGTGAGCGGGGGAAGGCGGCGCCCACGGAGGCCTCTGGCTGCGTTCCCTGTGGTCACAGGATGTGTGGACGGGCCAGAGGTGGGGCTGGCCCTCGGGGGCCGGAGACCGCAGAGCAGAGCGGGGTATAAAGGCCCGGCCGGGCCAGTGTCCACAGCGAGGATGGGGAGGACCCTGCTGCTCCTGCTGAGCTTGTGGCCGAGCCTCGCCGCGGCCCAGGAGTTCAACCCCCGCGCGGTGGTGCGGAGGGACTACAACATGGCCAAGGTGGGGCTGGTGCTGGGCCCCAGAGGGGCGGGGCCGGGTGGGGGCACCTGTCCTCCCGGGAGGGGCCGGGCCCACGGGGGGCCGTGAACACCGAGCATCCCTGATGCCCTCGCCCCCAGGTTGCGGGGGTCTGGCACTCGATCGCCATGGCCTCGGACGACCTGGGGCGGATCGAGGAGGATGGGGACCTGAGAGTCTTCATCCGGAACATCGAACACTTGAAGAGCGGCAGCCTGAAATTCAATTTCCGCTTCAAGTAAGCGTCTCCCGTGTGGCTGGAACTGGGGGAGCCCCCCGGCCCGGACTCACTAGCTCAGGCTCCGTGAGTGCCCGGGCCGAGCATGTGACCCCCGGGGGACAGGGGACCGAGGACCGCGGGGCAGGGTGGCAGGAGTGGGGGACTCTGCGCCACGCATCAGGGGAGACGGGGTGTCTGGCTGTGGGACGGGGCCGGGGTGCTGGGACGGGGAAGCCCGTGCCCCAGGCGCTTTGTGCCGCCCGATGCCCTGGGGGCAGCAGCTCCGCTCCAGGCGTCACACAGCCGGCTTGCAGGGTGCAGGGGCGGTGCGAGCCCGTGGACGTGGTCTGCCAGAAGACGGACAAGGACGGGGAATACTCCATTGCCTGTGAGTGGGCGGCGGATCCTCCGGGACGGCCCGTAACTCCCTTTCTCCAGGCCTTGGCCACTTTCTAGTGGGCGCCAATTTAGGGGATTTTAGGGGACCCCCGACAGCTTGACCCCAAATTGAGAGGACCTGGCCTGGCACCAGTCCCGGGGGGCTCCTGGCCCAGGCCCACGGGGAGGCAGGTGCCGTGCTGGGCTCCGAGGGGCGGGTACCCCAAGGGACAGCGGGGTCTGCAGGCCGACCACGGAGGGGGCCCGATGCCGCCGCCGCCGCCAACAGCGCCAGGCAGGAGTCCGCACCTGAGCGTGCCTCGGGCTCAACCTCCCCTCCCCCCGAAGGGCAACTTGACGCGAGGTCCTCACCTGCAGGCAGGCAGGGCACCTGTCACAGAACCCCGGGGCGGGCAGGGGTGGGGCCTTGCTGAGACGCGTCTCCACGCAGACAAGGGGGAGAACAAGGTCACCGTCCCCGAGACTGACTACCGGCTGTATGTCACCTTCCGCCTGCGGAACCTCAGGAATGGGACGGAGACCCAAGTGCTGGCGCTGTACGGTACCTGTCGGTCGCCGCCTGCCTGGGAGAATGTCAGCCCCTTCTCCTCCGCAGCCAGGCCCCACCCTGGATGGGGGGTCCCGCTGTGCCCTGCGATGAGGGGAGGTGTCCCCACCTGCTGGCTCCACCCATAGACACAGTGAGGGTGGGGGTCCCCGTCCTGCCTGAGTCACCCCCCTGAGGCTGTCCCAACACCGAGTCCCAATCTGTTCTCAGGACGGATCCCACAGCTGAACACCCCCTTCCTGGACAGATTCAAAGAAATCTGCAAAAAATATGGACTTAGTTCACAAAACATCATCGACATGACCAAGCAAGGTGGGTCCCATGGTCTTGGGCCACGACAGCTGCTGTCGTGGGAGGGACAGGCTCCGGCCCGGCCCTGCCCAGGAAGCCCGAGGGCCTGGGGGGTCGGGGGCCCCAGGAGGCCCCGTCTGAGAGCCCCATTCTGTCTTCCAGACCAGTGCTTCTCCAAGTAGCAGCGGAGCAGCCCAGGCCTCCCGTGCGTGAGCGTCCACGCGGGATGGGGCGGGGGCGGGACGGGGCCGGCTCGGGGTCAGTGCCAGAGGCCTGGGTCCCAGCCCAGGATGGACACCGGCGCCCCTCCCTCGCCGTCTGCTGGGTTTTCCTGCAGAGGGAACAGAGCACGAAGCGTCTGGTGAAAGGCGGTGTACGAAATAGCGCGGGAGGCGGGTGGAGACGGCCCTGCGGGGTGGTGGGGCCTGAGCCTCCAGACGCCGCGGCGGACTACCAAGGTGGCGCCGGGGACAGCGAGGTGTGCTTTCTCACAGGTCCGGAGCCCACGAGTCTGAGGTCAGGGGCCACAGGGCCACCCCGTTCCGGGGGCTCCAGGGGAGGCTCTTTCCTGCGTCTGCCAGCTGCTGGCCGCTCCAGATGTCCCTTGGCTGTGGCTGCATCACTCCAATTTCCGCCTCTTGCCGCCTTCTTCCCTCTCTGTCCCTGTCCCCTCCTGCAAGGACAGTTGTCATTGGGTTGGGGGCCACCCGGGCCCTAGATCTCCTCCTCTCGAGACCTACAACTTCCTCACACGTGCAGAGACCCCTTCCAGATAAGGTCGCACGCATAGGCCCCAGGCATTAGGACGTGAACGTGTCTTTTTGGGGACGCTGTTCAGACCCCCTCGAGCCCCCTCCCCTCCCGAGACTGAGCCTCCCGTCTCAGAAGCAGGCCCCCAAAGCCCCTCTGCACGGGCCCCGAGGTTTAAAGGAGGTGACCTGGGCCCCGAGGTTTAAAGGAGGTGACCTGGGCGGCCACCAGATCAACAGAGGCCCCTCCTGCCCCCGGGAGATTAGCAACAGTGTCACGGCCCGGACCCGCCCGCTTCCCTGCAGGGTTTGGTGACCATAAGTGACGTGCCCGCCGATCTGTGGTTATTTTGTGGGTTGAAAGTGGTTGTTGGGCATTTATCAGAGACATGGGCAACTGAACGTCCACACCCAAGCCTCTCGAGAAACGTGCACGACAGCTCTGTTCCAGACCGCCAGGCTGCAGACAGCCCAGCGTCCCCCAACGGCCAACGCCACACACGCCCGGGACGGACTCGGCCGAGGAAGCCGGGGTCTCGGGGCCGGTGTGGGCGAACAGCCCGTCCCGCAGGGTCCGCACCGCGTGGTCCGGTTCCACAGTGCGCGCAAGGACAGAGGGCACAGGCCGGGCACAGATTGGGGTTTCCGGAGGTCGGGAACGAGAAGTGGGCGCGGCTGCCGGGTCCTGTGGGGATGGAATGTTCTGGTCCCCAACCGTGGTGATGCAACACACCCCTGCCGTGGAACGCAAGGAGCTGGATACAGACGCACTTACACACGCCAGGAAACGTGCCAGGGCAGGTGTGGCGGCCGCTGCCCCCAGGGAGGCAGGGTCAGGGTCGCTGTTTTTTCTCACAGCTGCGCATGAATCTACAATTCTCTCAAAATAAACAGTTAAGATGAATAGCGCGTGTCCCTCCTTGTCACCCGATGAAATGCCGGCAGGTCCCGCCTTGTCGCTGCCCTTTCCCCATCGCCGCCCGCGGCTCCCGGGCCGCCGCCGAGCTGGGCCCATCCTGCTGCCGGTGGCCGAGCGATTCCCCAGAAGCCCTGGGAACCTCCGCCCTCCCGTGTCCTGGGGACAGAGACCACGCTTCCTGCATGTGAGGTGAGGCCGAGGCTCACGGCACCTCCTGCAGCCGAGACACACCCCCCAGCCGCCGCCCGGGATCTCTGCGGAGGGGACACACACTGGGTGGCCTGGCTGGGGTCAGGGGCAGCCCCAAGCCCAGCTGTGTGCTGTGTGCACGCCAGGGTCTGGGGGGAACTCACCCCGACAGTGCCCGCCGGGGAGCTGGGCTGAGCTGCCCAGGGGTGAGCTCGGGTGCCGGCCCCACCCACGGGCACTCCAGGCTGTGCGGACGCAGGCCTGGCAGAGCTGCAGTGGCCCTTCCAAGGGCGCCCGGCGCCGAGAAGGGCAGCTCCGTTGGCACAGGTGGGGTGGGAGGCACCTGGCACCCCACGGCCCACAGCCTCCCGTTCCCCGTCCAGCTCCTGGTGCAGCTACTGAGCCGAGGCAGGGACCACGCAGGAAGCTGCCCTTGTGGCGTGGGCCTGCTGTGCGGAAAGGCAGCATTTGGGGGGCACAGCAGAGGGTGCTGGGAGGGGCTGGCCCTCAGCACAGGAGATGCCCTGCCTGCCCCCTGGAAGGAGGCACGGAGGGGAGCCGAGCCCAGAGCTGGGGTTCCCAGCCCCGCCCTACCATCCGGGGCACAGCAGCCCAACCCCAGGGTCCTCCAGGTGGGGCAGCTGGGGGTGTGCAGGGGGCAGCTCCAGGGTTTAGGGGTGGGGCTGAAAGAATCACTGAGAGACCAAGTCGCTGTGGACAGCTGTGGCAGCCTCGGCCAAGTCAAAGCTGGAGAGCGGCTCGGACGAGTAAGAGGTGAGAGCACTGTCAGAACTGAGGCGGTGCACGACACACCTCACCGCCCGGTGCCAGCGTGGGCCTGCACAGGGGAGCGCTGCTCACGTCTCACTCGCGTGCTTGCCGCGATTAAAATCGATTTTATTTTCAGTGGAAAAGCATCTCAACAACCCCCAGCGTAACAGGGCCACTGCCTCCCTCGCTCAGCAGGACAGCCGCCCTCTGCCCAGGAGGTGACTAGGAGCAGCCAGACCCCGGGCAGAGGTCACTGAGCAGGCGCCAGGGCAGGCCACCTGCGGGGGTCGTTGGGGTCAGACGCAGGGACATGAACCTGTCCAGGGGGCTCTGGGCGAGGCCCTTGGCTCAGAGCTGCCTCCTGTGGCATCTCTTGGGGCCCTTGGGGGTGGCTCTATCCCCCCACCTGGCCATGGGTGTCCCGAGTCTTTGGGGAACAGCTTGGGTGGGGTCCAGGACAGGCGACCTGCCCTCCCAGTGTCACCGAGGGTCCGACCCTCTGTCACCATGCTCTGCCCCTCCACACAGGGACAGGGCGGAGGGCCGTGTCTAAGATGCAGCCGACGCTAGGCAGAGCGGGAGGTTGTGATCGAAGTCACCATCGCCGTGGGAGGACTGGACTCCACCCGCGTCTGCACAGAGGTGACCGGTTGTTTGGGAGGAAGAGGGAGTGGGGAGGAGGCCCCGGGGCTCCGCGGAGTCAGGAGAGTGAAAAATCACAAAAGCAGAAAGGGCTGGTCCGAGGGAGCCCCCAGGGGTGTCGCACGGGCACTTCCTGGAGCCGGGTGGGGGCCAGGCCACCCTCAGGCGCTGTGTGCCACGAGCAGGACGTCCCCGAAGGCTTGGGTTTCTCAGGCAGCTTCAGGGGCCGGGGGCGTCCTGGTTACGGCCTGGAGAAGCCGTGTCGCTGGTCGTCTAAGTCTCCATGGCCAAGACTGAGGCCAAGCCAAGAAGGGGGCACAGAGGGGCCCGGCTGGAATTTGGTGGCGTTTGGCCGTGGAGAGAATCCCTGTCACCTGCCCTGCGGTACTGGGTCGCCCCCTGGTACCGCCCGCCAGGACACAACCTGAAACCGAAAACAGGACGGACACCCTGAGAGACACAGCACAGGCGCCAGAGGGTACAGCCGCCAGGACCCCGGCCACGCAGAGCCCTCCGCCGGGAACCCGTGGCTCCGGGGTCCCTTCCCGTTTCTTTTCTCTGCTTGGTCCTGAGACAGCCTGGTACGTGCGTTCTTGTCACATTCGCGACAGCGACTGGACCCCTCTCGCTCCTCCCCTCCCTCCCGGCTTTCTGGAGTGGGGGAGCATCCGCCCTGCGAGGATTCGAACGTGAGCAGATCCACAAGCAGCGCGTCTCCTGTGCTGTCCTCGACACTTCCGCGTGGCCAGCGGCAGCGCATCTCCTGCGCTGTCCTCGACACTTCCGCGTGGCGGCGGCAGTGCGTGCTCCAGCGTTGTGGACCCGAGGACTGGCGTCGAGGTTTCTCCCATCTGCACGCAGCGCTGGTGCGTCCCGCACGCGGGTCCGCGCGTCCTTGCTGCGCTCACTGCTTCAGTTCTCCGTCCTGCCAGTGCTGAGCGCTGGGACGTCCCCGACCCTTCGTTGGCAGCGACGCCCCATGGCAGAGGCTGGGGTGAGGGTGTGGTGCCCCCAGGCGGCTGCACCCCACCCCCACGCCAGCCGGCGGGTGTACCTGCTGGCCTGTCTCCTGCCAGCCAGGTGTGCTCGGCACCCCGCCTGGAGGAGAGGAAGCCGCCCTGGTTTCCCTTTGTGGCCTCCGCGACCCGGCGTGACCCTGCGGAGGAAGGTGCCTCGTTCCGGTGCGGGTCCTCTGCTGGGAGGGGCCTGTTCGGACCCCTGGCCCAGTTTCCGGTTTTCCCTCCTCCTTGTTGAACTTTGGTTCTCTGTGTTGGACGTCGACCCATTTCTGCTGAGTGGCAGACGTCCCTCCCCCACCCCAGTCTGTCACTTGTCTGTCACCTGGCTGATTTTGTTTTTTGCCATAGGACGGTTTTAATCTAGTTGTCACCTGCAGGCTGTGGCTGTGCCTGTCACGCTGGTGCGCATCACAAGGCCAGGTCTGCAAGGCAGGGCCCAGACTCTGCCGTCCACCGGCTGTGCCGCCTTGGCCAGCTCCTCTCCCTCTCTGTGCCTCGGCCCCGCGCCTGCACGGCTCGGGTGACAACAGGATCTGCGTCATGAGGTTGCTGTCAGTGAAGACGTGTGAAGCGCCTGGAACCCTAACAAGCATGTCCTGACTGCCAGGCCCAGGGTGGGGCCGGGGCCGTGCGCCTGGGTGAACAACGCTGTCTGTTAAATAACCCGCGGGAGCCCAGCCAGGAGTGAGGACGCAGGTCTGGCGGGAGTCCAGGCCGTGTGCGAGGAGCTGCCCATCAAAACATGCTATTGTTCCGAGCCCTGACATTTCAAAGCCGGCATCCTGCGGCGGTGTTTTCCTCAGAAAGCAACTGACAGGGCCGTGTGTGGACAGTGGGAGGGAGGGTGACCTTGGCCCGGCCCCTGGGGAGCTCACGGCCCTGCAGGGAGAGGG